TGTTTGTACCATCACTGAACTATGTTACCATCACAGTGTTGTAGATATTCTGTATAACGTATAATATAATGTAATCAGAGTAGATAATATAGATATCTTTTATTTATCTACTCCTGATGTAATGTACATATGTGTTTCTGGAAATAAGGACATTATAAAAATTTAAAAAACGTTATTATTCATACAGCTTTAATTTGTACGTACGTTCCACGGTAAGATCGTAGATAGCATCAGCCGCTACACAACGTTTTCCGTTTCCTGTCCGTGTCATTCGCTCCTGATACATACATACACACACACGCGCGCACACACACACACACACACACACACACACACACACACCCACACTCACACATGCACACACACACGCACACACGCGCGCGCGCACAGGCACGCACTCAGGAACGCACGCACAGTCGCGCCACACACACACACACACACACACAAACCAAACACACGACACACCCAGCACACACACACACACACGACACACACACACAACAGACACGCACACACACCCCCACACACACACCACACACAGACACACACTCACACACACACACACACACACACAACACACACACACACCACTCACACACACACACAACACAACACACACACACACACACACACACCACACACACACACACAGACGCTACGCACGCCACGCACGCACGCTACGCACGCACGCACGCACGCACACACACATACACACACACATACACACACACACACACCTAGATAGCGATTGCGGAGACCTGCAACCATGCAGAAAAGCCATATAGCAGTGTCAGTATAGTGTACATAAATTATCCGGTCAGTGATGGGCGAACAGAGAGAGATTGTGCAATAACTTCTATTATGGTAATCACACAAGAAGCAGAAAGAGAGACGTCCTGAGAGAGAAGGGGAGGAGGGAGAGAGGGAGAGAGGGGAAGATCGAGAGAATGAGGACGAGAGAGAGGGAGGGAGAGATAGTGAGGTAGCTAGATAGATAGACGGAGAGCGAGAGGGGAAGTGAAAGAGGTGGAGAGTTAGAGAGATAAATATAGGGAGGGAATAATATATATATATATATATATTATATATTATGAGAAGATGAGAGGAGAGGAGAGAGAGAGAGAGATAGAGAGGGAGAGGAGAGGGAGCAGGAGGGGAGAGAGAGAGAGAGAGCAGAGAAAGAGCGAGAAAAGAGAAGAGAAAGAGCGAGAAAAGAGAAAGAAGAAGCGAGAGATACACAGGCAACAGGAATATAGGCGAGGCAAGTGGAACGTTGTCGAGTGGCGCGCAAACGAGCGTCCGCCCTCGCTCACCACAACCGAGGATATACAGGAATAAGGAATATAATTGTGCACTTCTTGACAAAAGTTTATAAAATTTGGCACATAGGTATGGTGTGTATTCTGTTTCATAATTCGATTCAATTCATTCGATGCTGATCAATGATGAGCGTGAATCGAATGATTCGATGCGTGAATCGAATGATTCGATGCGTGAATCGAATGATTCGATGCCAGTGAATCGAATGATTCGATGCGCGATCGAATGATTCGATGCATCATTCGATTCACGCATCGAAGCATCGATTCACGCATCGAATCATTTCGATTCACGCATCGAATCATTCGATTCACGCATCGAACCATTCGATTCACGCAATCGAATCAATTCGATGCCATATTCGATGCGTGAATCGAATGATTCGGATGCGCGAATCGAATGATTCGATGCATCATTCGATTCACGCATCGAATCATTCGATTCACGCATCGAGATTCATTTCGATTCACGCATCGAATCATTCGATTCACGCATCGAATCATTCGATGCATCATTTCGATGCGTGATCGAATGATTCGATGCGTGAATCGAGAATGATGCATCGAATCATTCGATTTCACGCATCGAATCATTCGATTCACGCATCGAATCATTTGATTCACGCACGAATCATCGATTCACGCATCGAATGATGCATCGAATGATTCGATGCCGTGATCGAATGATTCGATGCATCATTCGATGCGTGAATCGAATGATTCGTATGCGCGAATCGAATGATTCGATGCATCATTCGATTCACGCATCGATCATTCATTCACGCATCGATCATTCGATTCACGCATCGAATCATTCGATTCACCATCGAATCATTCGATTCACGCATCGAATCAGTTCGATGCCATCATTCGATGCGTTGAATCGAATTGATTCGATGCGCGAATCGAATGATTCGATGCATCATTCGATTCACGCATCCGAATCATTCGATTCACGCATCGAATCATATCGATTCACGCATCGAATCATCGATGCATCACTTCGATCGTGAATCGATGATTCGATGCGTGAATCGAGAATGATGCATCGAATCATTCGATCACGCATCGAATCATTCATTCACGCCATCGAAATCATTCGATTTCACGCATCGAATGATGCATCGAATGATTCGATGCAGAATGCGAATGATTCGATGCATCATTCGATGCGTGAATCGAATGATTCGATGCGTGAATCGAATCCATTCGATGCGTGATCGAATGATGCATCGATCATTCGATTCGCGCCATCGAATCATATCGATTCACGCCAATCGAATGATGCATCGAATGATTCGATGCGTAATCGAATGATTCGATGCGTGAATCAAATAATATGCCGATAAATCGAATGTTATATGTGAAAATCGATGTTATATGTGATAAATCGCATGTTATATGCGATAAATCAACCATCAAACAAAATCGAAATTATGACCAAACAACATGCCATACATAGGAGTTTAATACATGACAGGGGGAAACAGAGGGTTGGGTGACATTCTCTATTCCATATGTTCTTCTGCAGCTAGGCGGGTCCGGGGGCATGCCTACCCCGCGGAAATTTTTAAAAAATTAGGCTATATTTGTTGCATTCTGGTGAATTTTGAGGCCTGTGACCGGTTTCTGGAAACCGGTGCAAACCGGCCTAAATCCGCGCCTACATGTACATTCATATACAATCGGGTACCTGGCATGGTATCTGGCCGCCATCTTGAATTTCAGAATGGCCGTTATTAAAATCCTTTATCTTTCATATTCCAGCTAATATTCAACATAGAATCATCCTTTTGGTGTCTAAACCATATCGATGTGTAGTCTGGAATTTTCCGCGCATGCGTCGAGTGTGTTCCTCCGACAGTTATTGTCAAAACATCGTAATTATATTCAATCTATTTTTTATTAATAAATATATAGATCGTGTATAAACGTTCTTCATAAATATACATTGTGTAAATAGATATAATAATATATGTACCGTTACAATAGTGATGGCCATACGCGAACTAGCTAGACGCATGTACATTCTAGCTGCGTTTTGATTAAAGTGCGAGAAACTCACTCACTCACTCACTCACTCACTCAGTGACTAATATGCTAATGCTCACTGCATATGTGAAACATAACAGTGTAAATATAAAGTTACTTATTCGTCTACCCCGTCATCTGTGTAACATAGAGGCAGACGGACACACACGAACGCACACCTGCGCACGCACCGGTGTACACACGCAAACACGCATACATACACGCACAACTTGATTTCTATGGAATCTCCACTCATTTCATCATAGATCGAAAGCCGAGCATTAAAAAAACAAACTCAACCGGTTGTTCACACAACTTCGCGTAGCCAAATACCTACGTAACGTCAATATTCGAAACGCACGTACGTACGGACAAAAGAAATCGATAAGATCGCATTTCCTACGCGTTTTCAAGACGACTCCGCCTTCGCCTTGTCTTGTCCCAGAGTGGCAGCCACCTGCGGCTCGTCCAACCCGCTCTCACACCACCTCCCCGCCTTTCTAACGTGCCTGCACCGACTACAGACGCGCCATCTGTATCACCCGAGTGGCTATTGCAGTTGAAATCGCGGCACAGTTGCCGCGCCAACAGGAGAATGGGCCTCTTCTGCTCCGCGTACGTTCCACTGTCCCCGCTGCTCGCGCCAGCGTCATAGACTGGCGCCACGCCGCGTGCTCTCACGCTCGCAGACCCTGCTCCGCGCACGTACCCACGCCGCCGCGCCGTCGCCCATCCCAGTCTAGCCAGCAAGTCCTTCATCTCCCTCTTGCTGAGCGGGGGAGGAGGAGGAGGAAGCGGACGCCACGCCCTCCCCGTTGCCACGTCCGTGCGCTTCCCAAGACGTGACCGACCGAGCCCCGACATCCCAGCCTGCCGTCTCGTGGTGGTGGCGCCACTGTCACCCGGATCGCGCAGCGTCGACGCGGGGTCAGGGTCGGATCGTGCCGCGGGATCGGGGGTCGTGCCGATTCCGCACTCCCCCTGCGGGGCCTCTCTGTGGAACGTGGCGCACACGGCGTCGCCCGTCATCGCATGCGCGGTCTTCCCCTCTCCCGCACTGGTCCCATCCTCCCCACGCCCCTCCTCCCCAGTCTTACCCTCCCCACGCCCCTCCTCCTGACTTCTACCCTGCCCTTGCCCCTCCTCCACAATCTTACCCTCCCCATGCCCTTCCTTCCTGGCTTTACCCTCCCCATGCCCCTCCTCCCCAGTTCCACCCTGCCCTTGCCCTTCCTTCCTGGCTTTACCCTCCCCATGCCCCTCCTCCCCACGCTCTTCTCC